TAACGTGTGGAAAGTGTAGAGAAGAACATTTTGTGACATGGAATAAGTTAAGGTTTTCTGGAATATTGGACTATATATTAACGTGTGGAAAGTGTGAAGAAGAAAACTTTGTATAAAACCATAATTAACGTATAAAAAGTGTAGAGAAGAAAATGGAAAATTAATTGCTCTAATACTTGATAAAAAGGAATGAAAGCAAAAGGGGAAAGGGGAAGTCATCGTTGGACTAGAAGCATGTGGTGTGGGTTTAGTATATCAACGTGTGGAATAAGTCAAGGTTTTTGGAATATTGGACTATATATTAACGTGTGAAAAGTGTAGAGAAGAACATTTTGTGACATGGAATAAGTTAAAGTTTTCTGGAATATTGGACTCTATATTAACGTGCAGAAAGTGTAAAGAAGAAAATTTTGTATAAAACCATAATTAACGTATAAAAAGTGTAGAGAATAAAGTGGAAAATTAATTGCTCTAATACTTGATGAAAAGGAATGAAAGCAAAAGGGGAAAGGGGAAGTCATCGTTGGACTAGAAGCATGTGGTGTGGGTTTAATATATCAACGTGTGGAATAAGTCAAGGTTTTTTGGAATATTGGATTATATATTAACGTGTGAAAAGTGTAGAAAAGAACATTTTGTGACATGGAATAAGTTAATGTTTATTGAAATATTGAATTATATATTAACGTGTGAAAAGTGTATAGAAGAAAATTTTGTGTAAAACCATAATTAATATGTAAAAAGTATAGAGAAAAAAGTGAAACATTAATTGCTCTAGTACTTGATGAAAGGAATGAAAACAAAAAGGGAAAGGAAAGTCATCATTGGGCGTGAAGCATGTGGCATGGGTTTAGTGTATCAAATTAATTGGATTTTTATTCATAAAAAAAAAATTGAATTTTGAATAGAAACAATGCGTAAAATCATGTGAAGGGCAATTGCATTTCTTGGTCATTATAACGTATACATAAATATGGAAAGGTTACGTTGTTGTCATTTTACTCTAAATGAAAATAAATATTATAAAAAAAGAGAAGTCAATGTTGGAGCGGAGACATCACACATTACTGTGCCATGAAAAGTGTAGTAAAATATTTATAATTTATTTGTTATTATTCTTTTCTTTCATATTCTCCCATTATATCATTTATTTAATTTTTAGTCACTCTTTGCACGTCCAACAATCATTACATCATTACATATATTTTTTTGGACACAACTTTTTAATTCCATATAAAAACATAAATTGTGTTTTTATATCCTTTTATTACTATTATTATATATCATTACCTACCGATCATTAGATATCTTTTTTCGTTAAAAATAAATTGTGATTGAATTAGGCGCTATTAGAGATAAAACTATAAATTGTTGTTAAATTCATATGAGTGGAATTAATTGGATTCCAACATTTTCAATATGTTTTCTTTAAGAGATTCATTATTATTTAAGATTTTATGAAGATTTACTAAATATTTTAGAAGTTTTATTA